TTGTATCAAATATATTTCAAATAACCAACATCTGTTGAAACATCATTATAAAATATTTCTGATTACAGGAACATTTAAATAATTAACTAATTCTCCTTTCCCACTATTTAGAGTATAACAGATGTGTTTTGTACAGGTACTAATTTATCAGGACTGTAGCCACAGAGTCTGTGGATTTTGAGTTTTTGTTATTTTTTTAAAATTTCTAATATAAATATATAATTGGAAAGCAAAATAATAAATGTAATCATTTGGTTATATTTTTATTAAGCTATGTTGAAATTAATTTATTAAGTTATTTAGTAATAATTTATTATCTAGAGTTTGGAGTTTAGTAGTAAAATCATTTGCTTAATCTTTTTCTTGTTCTCTCCTCCCATTACCTTTCTTTCCCAGAAAAAAAAAGCTTTACTTTTTTAAAATATGCTGATTAGAAAATAATAAATTGTATAAAAAAATATTAATTTCTTGTAATTGTTTTGCATCCTGGTTTCCATTCTTTATATAGATTTCTATGGGAAGCCACTGCCTCCCCTGGTTGTACGGCAAAAACCTAACAGTGATGCCCATGATGTGATCTCATAACCAAGTTCATGTGGATGAGCTCTCGCTATATCAGGAACACGAAGTGGAGGGCGTTCTTTCTTAAAGAAGACAAATCCTGAGCATTGATGACTGACAAAACAACTGTAGTGATTTCAGTGGGGAGGTTATCAGCCACAGATCTAAATGATGTGACAATTACTTTTCCATATGCACTGTTAGAAAAAGAAAGGAAATAAAATATAAAGATGAGGGAAAAGCTTTTGGACAAAGTAAAGTGTAGTGTTGACTCTTTGGATTATATATCCCCATTCATGGTCATATTCCTGAAGGAAAATCTCTTTGAAAAAAGAGCCAACGGACTCTACTAAGTTTGTTTAAGATTTGTTTTAATATAGTCTTTTCTTTCTACACATTAGACCCCCCCCCTTTTTTTTTTTTTTGTAAAATACATGTGCATATAAGGGAAATTCTTGGGGATTTATACCCTAAAATTTTTAACTATTTTTGTATTTTTCTAAAAGTTTTGTTTAAACATTTTAATTACTTTGATATTGATGTGCACTTTTCTACAGATAGTTTTTTAAAATTGTGTCTGGAAAAAGAATTGATTTATCTGACAACTGTTAACTATACAATCAAGATTTATTTATGTCTCATACTTTTGTTCTTGAAGTGTGTATACTAATTTGACTCAATATTAAAATACTAGCTTTTAAAAATAGATTTTTTGATCTTTATTCTACCAAATTGTGTCATTTGAAAAAACTACGCAAGGATAGATTTCAACTCTTTTTGTTGTTAACAGTTTTCTATGGTTTCAGTAAATGCAAAGGATGCAAAGTAGTTATTTTTAATAAAAATATTCCTTGAACCTTGATATTTTTTAAATTAATGAAAATAGTATGTGATATACTACTGAAAATCTCAGTAAACATCTATTCTATATTCAAAAGTTAAGGTTCCTTGTCAAAAACTGTACAAGCTATTTAAGTTACTTTGAATTTGTCTTTAAAGTAAAAAATAGTGAAATCGCCAGTAGAGGCACTATTATTATTACTTTAAAACTGGGAACTAGCTTGGATACGGAATTAATAAGAATAAAAATATTGATTAAAAATTGCTTTTATAAAGAAAGAATCCAAAATAATATCTTAATTAAAATAACAGTACCTTCTCTTGCACTTTTGAATAGAATCCACAGAATTCTCTGTTTGGCATACAGATAATATTTTATATATTTTGAGTAATATATGCATTATGTTACCTTTAACTAAAAACATAACTTTTTATCAAGCTGAAAAATACTTTAAGGAGAATGATTTCCACATACCTTGTTAAAATTGATTAGCTTGGTAACTTATACTAAGCAAGAGTCATATTCTGGTATATGATAATAGCATTGTTAAGTACTCTAAGGCAGTTTCTTGTGATTATTTACTTTTACTTGATAGTATCATTTTTTATTCATCTGTTTAAAACTCACTGAAACTTTACAAATCAAGTCACTTACAACTCTAATTGTCATTATACAGAATTCCTTGTAGTTTATATGTGGGACCTATGTAGCTCACTGATTTGAGGAAAAAAGACTTTTATTTAATATATAATATTCAGAAAAAACTAAATTTGATAGATTGTTGAACTGTGAGGAAGAAGTAACACTAAAAGACACAACATAAATTTTTGAAATGGACTTTAGGAGAAATAAATTATTTGTACATAATTTTGGGGTTCTGGAATATTTACATTTGTTTAATTACTTTTTTTTGTAACTAAACTTATACATCTTCGATCATCATCTAGCTTGAATAAATATAAGTTTCAAAATTTTTGTTTCTCATTAGTAATGATTCCATCAGTAGTTATTACAAGTCTATTTTGTTATCGTGAAATAATATATATGAGAAAATGCAATAAATCTCTATGCATCTAAAAAATGGTATCCTTAAAGCATTTTAAAAATACTTCAAAATATATTTTATAAATAAATCCAAGTAGATTTAAAAAATTACATGTCTTTTTTGTCATGTGCTACAATTTTATTATTAATGGACATGAATTATAATATTTTCACTCAATAAAAAGAATTTATATCTGAATGTTGTTTTTCTTTAAACAATTTAAATGCTTATTTTTTGATCAACAATTTTAGGATATGACTATTGAAAGATATTTTAAGCCATTAATTTAAATTTTTATTAGTACATTTTCTCTTTTATGTGACAAAATTTTTTCTTCTTGGTAAATTTATACACACACACCCATATTTGTACAAACATTTTTATATTTCTAGATTATTCAGTGCCTATCTTTTAAGTAAAAATATTTTTAATTTCTTAAAATAATTTTATATACCTTTAAGTTTAAAATGTATATGCAAACACATTCATACATACAAATACAATCTTACATGAAACTAATTTCAAGTAAAGAAATGTGCTAAGAAACAATACCAGAAAGAAGTATTGCAGTTTATGACCATACCACCCTGAATGCACCCGATCTTGTCAGAAAGAAGTGTTGCAAAATGGTGACAATGATTTTTTAAGTTAATGGTTGTTACCTCTTTCAATTTTTCCAATTGTCTTTCTTATTTGGCTTCATTTAGATAGTTGGGGGGGGCATGTAAAATTTTGTAAAATAAAGAAAGTCCCTCTGTAAGGGACTGCTCCCTCATTGCAACATGCCCAAAGTATGCCAGACAAAGTTTCAGAATCCTTGCCTCCACGGAACAGCCTGGTTTCACCCTCTCTTGGATGAACCTGTTTGTACTCTTAGCAGTTGATGGTATATTCAGTACTGTTCTCCAGCATCACAACTCAAAGACATCATTTCTCCTTCTGTCATTCATAGTCATTGTTCAGCTTTCAGATGCATAGCACGTAATGGTGAAAACAGTGGCTTAGATCAGGCGCACCTTAAGTCTCCAGACTGATGATTGTTGCTTCTCAATACTCTGTATAGGTCCGTGACAGCTAACTTCCCCAATGCAATGCAGTTTGTCTTTTGATTTCTTGGCTGCTGGTACCAAGAGTGTTGATTGTGGAGGTATGCAAATTGAAGCTGTAAACAATCTCATTCTGTATACACTGTGTCTATCATAATGTTGACAAGCAGCCTAGTGGTGAGAATCTTTGTTTTTTGATGTTGAGCTTCAATCCATATTGAAGGCTGCAGTCCCAGAAATTGACAGCATACAACAGCCATATTTCAACAAACAAATGCTGCCCTGAAAACTCTCACCAAGTTGTGCCAAGAAATCTGGAGGACAACCACCTGGTCAACTGACAGGAACAGATCCATATTTGTCCCAATTCCAAAGAAAATTGGCCCACCAAATTACAGAAATTATTAAACAATATAATTAATAACACATGCAAGCAAGATTCTACCAAAAATTATCCAAAAACGACTGGAAAAGCACATCAACAGAGAACTTCCAGAAGTGCAGGCTGGTTTTACAAGAAGCTATGGCATTAGGGATATTACCAGAGGAATGAATGTTTATCTGTGTTTCACAGAATATGCAAAGACATTTGACTGTGTGGATCAGAACAAACTGTGGCTGACTCTGAGAAGAATGAGAATCCCAGAACATTTGATTGTGCTTATGTGAAACCTATACTTGGACCAGGAGGCAGATGGTTCAAATTGCGATATGGCTGCAAACATGGGCTTATCAAAAGACTAAGTCAGCATTATGGAAACCAAATAAGCCTTTTTGTGTGGGGAAAAACAGGAAGTCAGGAATGGATTTAATAGAAATCTGAATATAATTAAAGGGTAAATATAACTTGTATATGGCCTGCATTATAAATTCCTTTTGAGCACTGTGTAAGGTAATAGGATTTATTTTCTAGGTAAGAGGAAAAAAAATGGTCTTCACCCTTGCTCATTCCCCCTTCCCCAAACTTATGGTAAAATCTATGACAGGAAAAACGTCTGAGGTGGAAAGCTGTCATAAGGGGGAAAAAAACCCCACAAACCCTGTTTTTTCCCTTACACAAAACGGCACCTTGCCAAAATTAGAGACCTTAAAAAACTTTTGAGACCTGCCCAAACAAGCATTTTATCAAGTCCCAGCTCACAGTATAACACCTTTAAAAATTATACGATGAATCCTATTCATTACAGAAAAAGCACAGTTTCATTGTGCCTACTGCAGAAGGCCATCCATCAGTTTCTTGTAAAAACCGATTGCTAAAGGCCAGCATACGAATAAAGTTGAGCTCGCCGCTGGCCACGCCCCCGGGAGCCGACTGCGTCGCTGTAAATATCCACCAATCAACCGTAACAGCAATTCAGCTTAAACCTCTCGCGGGATCTAAGTCTCTTGATAACAAGGGCAAAGCAGAATCACGCGAGAAGTTGAGCCTCAGAAAGGCGGGATTAGCAGTAAATGGCTGAGGATCCCGGAAGTCATTAGCTCTATTTTATCTCGTGAAGGCACTTAGATGCCGAATGAAGTAGATCCCTTGTTTAGCAGCTCGTGGCGGGATGATACTCACCTGGGTGAGGGCTGGGACTTCTTACTGAACCAGATCTCTTTATGCGTGAGCGTGGGGACGAGGGAAGGGGAAATTCTCGTTTTTCCATTTTATAGTTTACAACCCTGAACCCTAGAAATACAGTTAAGTGTACTGTTTCTTGCTCATTCGATAATGTTGAGTGTCGTGATGCGTTCTTTCCTTTGTTGGGATATTTATGGAAGGGCTCATTTCCGCTCCCAATAACCTCCAGGCAGTCCAGCCTTTGTTGGATTCCATCAGCTTCGGACAGTGGCAAACTAGGAGGTCTTGGACTTTATCCATCCCTGCTGTATTCCTGTAGTGTAGAGTTAGAGGCGGATTACCCAGTAAGCACGTGCATATTTGTACCTATGTTAGTGGACATTTCCATAAAAATCTTAAAATTGTTGTTAAGTTACTAATTCGTAGTGAACAGTTTTACTTTCTTGGTACTCTTCCCTGTAAATTTGAAAAGAGGCTCTGATTCTGTAGGGAGATGTCAGAGTTTGGGAGAGAGACATAATAACCTTATCTAGAAGCAGAATGCTGAGGAAACAAGGTGAAACTGTTCACTACAGATTTAATAAGTAAGCTATGTTTACCTTGCTTATGGAGTAATCCCTATTGTAGACCAGTAACTATTACATAATAGGCCCTCAGCTTTTTCTTAGTTGAATAAATAAAACTGAATTGGAAGGCAGTTTTCAGAGGAAACTATTAAAAATAAACTTTATTTAAACTGGAATAATTTTAGACTTACAGTAAATTTTAAAAAGAACAAGTTGTCTTCATGCAAAACCACAAGCCAAAACTATGGCCATCCGGATCATTCCAACATGTAGCAATTCTACTTTAAAACTCTCAGGAACTCTAGAGGACAGGACTAAACTTCCCCACAGATTTTCCAGGGCTGTAAATACGGAAGCTGGCTCCCACATCTTCTAGAGTAGCTGCTTGTGGGTTCCAACAACCAAATTCTCAGCAATTGGAACATTTAACCTAAAGCAACATTAGGGCTCCTATCTTTCACCCAGTTTTATCTAATGATATCAAGAGATTATTAAAAATATTTTCTTGCTTTTGAAACAGCTTTCTTAACATGACTAGATTCTACTTTAATGTTTGCTTAATTAACATTTGGGCAATATCTGGAGGAAACGAATTTTTCCTAACTGTAGAGTGTGGGAATACAATTTTGTTAACTTAAGATACGTTGCACCCTTTGTGAGAACTAGTTGCTAAGAGGGCTCTTGTCTTATGTTGAAATTCAATAAATTTGTGATATTATCAGTGTGTGTCAGCAACTTTTTCTTATTATCATAGCTGAAAGCAAACTCAGAGGGGAAGCTTACAAAACAAATTTGCAAAGTTGTTTTGGATCATTTTGAAAAACAGTATTCCAAAGAACTTGGAGATGCTTGGAGTATGACAAGGTTAGTATAATTAATCTCTTGGTGCTTTGTAACTGATGAATTAGAGTAAAAATAGCTTGGGGTTGGGGGATAGTATAAAAGGTAAGGGAGTCTACTAAGCTTCCATTTCCTACCCAGGTTATGGACAAAAAGAAAAAAAAATAATAGAAAAGGGAAATGCAAAACTTTCTAGTGGTAGTATGCAAAAATAATTTATTCTGTCCTTGCCTCAAGCAATGGCTTTGATCCTTCTAGAAATGATAACCTTGAAAACTGAATTATACTCTTAAGAAAAATCTTAAGGAAAGTTTTTTATCATACTTAACTAGTTTCTAAAAGTTAGACTGTCATCCAACAAATCTGTTTAGTCCAGTAGTGCTTTATCTTTTTTTTTTTTTTTTTTAATGCTTTCAGAATAACTCCACGCACTCTTGTGTGTGTTGTATAGAACTGCAATCCATAGGATTTTCAGAGGCTGTTATCTTAGAAGTGGGTCACCACACCTTTCTTCTACAGTTCTGCTGGGTGGACACAGATCTCCAATCTTTGACTTGCCAAGTTAGTGTTAACTGTACCACCCAGGCACTTATCTATTGTTGACTCAATAATCATATTTCTTCTGTTTTGATTATGACTTACTGTATTTTGAACTCATATGCCAACATGCAGATGTATTGTAGAAAAGAGAACTAGAAAGGAGCTTACTAGTTAAACGTAATAGATGAAAGAAATTTAATTTGTATGTTTGTGTGGAATGTCACTAAATAGTTTCATTAAAGTGAAATACAAGCAGATAATCCTCATTTCCAGCTTGCTAGCAGTCTGGGGTTTCTGTATTGTTTGTATAGGGATGTGGGTATGATTAATCACTAAGTAAAATGCTAGTTTATGCAGTGTTTCTATAGAGAAAGGCATTGGATGGTATAAGGAGTGTCTTAACTAACAAAGTGGTAGGACATCAGGATTTGAAGAAGACTCTTCAATGACCTGCATTATGCAGATCATACAACTTTGCTTGCTAAAACTGAGGAGGACTTGAAGCAAGGGCTTCAGTTTCAGCAGGCAGAGTTGTGTCATCTGCATAACGCAGATTTTTTTTTAAAGAAAAATTCTTTCTTTGGTATACATTCCCCCTGCACCCCTCCTACTGCCCCAAGTACAACCTTAATTGTGGACTCTTGTATTAACTATAATACCCTATCATATATCATTTTAAAATTATTCTCTCCCTCATCTGTTTCAATGGCAGTATACACAATTTATCCAGTTTTTCTCAGCCTTACCCCAACCCTGATATCAGTCCCATTTTATAGCAGTGGCACCATACAGTATTTGTCCTTTTGCGACTGAGATATTTCACTCAGCATAATGTCCTCCAGGGTCACCCATTTTGAATAATATTGCATGAATTCCTTGTTTCTCAATGCAGTGTAGTATTCCGTTGTGTGAACATACCACAGCTTCTCTATACATTCGTTTGTTGATGGGCAGCTGGGTTGTTTCCAGATCCTTGCTATTGTGAACAAAGTGGCGATAACCATGGGTGTGTGCATATATCTGCTTGGATGTCAGTTATGGTCTCTTTGGGGTATATTCCCAGTAGTGGAATTCCTGGGTATAACGCAGATTGTTGATGAGTCTTCCTCCAATCCTGATGCTCTTGCTGTAGAAGGTCAAGGACTGCAGCTTTCAATATGGATTGAAACTTAACATCAAGAAAACAAAGATTCTCACCACTGGGCTGATGGAGAAGAGATTGAGTCTATGAACAGCGTCAGTTTGTTTGGCTCCGAGATCAACACTCTTCGTACCAGCAGCCAGGATATTAAAAGACGAATTATATCAGGAAAGTCAGCTGTCAGAGACCTCTCCAAAGTACTGAAGAGCAACGATGTCAGTCTGGAGACTACTTGCTATGCTTCGGAGAACTGCACAATGACTAGGGATAATAGAAGGCGAATTGATGCCTTTGAGCTGTGGTTCTGGAGAAGAGTGTTGAATCTATCATGGTCTTCCAGGAGAATAAACAGGTTCATCCTAGAGAGGGTGAATCCATACTGCTCCTTGGAGGCAAGGATTCTGAGGCTTCATCTGACATACTTTGGGCATGTTTCAAGGAGGTTCCAGTCCTTGAAGGGGGACATCAACCTTGGAAGGGTGATGGGACAGTTCAAGAGAAGAAGACCCCTTGATGAGATGGACTGATTCAGTGACTGGGGTATTGAGGGTAGGTATGCCAGAGACAGTAAGGTTGGCACAAAATGGAGCAGGTTTCAGGGTTGTTGTACTTACAGTCTCTGTGAGTCACAAGCGACTTGATGAGACAACAAGAAGTGCCAGAAGAGACTTGAGGGTATACCAGATCTTGGTGACTGAGTTACTCTGGCAAATGAAGACATTCTGTTCTTGTTGTTGTTATGTGCCATCGAATCGCTTGCGACTCATAGCGACCCTATGTACAAGAGCTCTAAATGCTGTTCTATCCTGTGCCAACCTAGCCATCTCAAACGCACTTATTCCTGCCACTCCAGTCACAGAATCGATCCATCTCACCAAAGGTCTTCCTCTCCTTCACTTCCCCTCCACTCTGCCAAACATGATGTCCCTTTCCAAGGACCAGTCCCTCCTTGCAACATGCCCAAAATATGTCAGACGAAGCTAGGCTGAGGGAAAAGTGTCCTGATTGCACAAAAGTGTAGTACATTTTTACAGGTGAAAAGTTGCATAACTATAGGCACTGGAACTAGACAATTGCCATTCCATCTACCCTTGGTGCAACTTATTAAACATTTTCAGTTGTCTTTTAAAAAGTACATCATTAAGTATATTTTTAAAAAGGATTGTGTCTAATAAAGATAAAAAGATCTAAAATGGTTCTTAATTTTAATGAGTTAATATTTTAACAAATTAAGCTTTTTTTTAAAAAAGCAAACCACTCAAGAGTGCTACATTGTTGTTGTTGTTGTTGTTGTTGTTATGTGCCATCGAGTCGTTTGCAACTCATAGCGACTCTATGTACAACAGCCCTAAACCCTGCTCTATCCTGTGCCAATTGTACTGTCTCTGACACACCCATCCCGATTACCCCAGTCACTGAATCAATCCACCTCATAGAGGGTCTTCCCCTCCTGCGCTGTCCGTCTAACCTACCAAGCATGATGTCCCTCTCCAAGGACCTGTCTCTCCTTACAACATGTCCAAAGTATGTCAGACGAAGCCCCAGAATCCTTGCCTCCAAGGAGTATCCTGGTTTAACCTTCTCTAGGGTGGGTCTGTTTGTTTCCTTGGTAGTCCATGGTACCTTCAATACTCTTCTCCAGCACCACAGTTCAAAGGCATCAATTCCCCTTCTATCCTCCCTAGTCATTGTCCAACCCTCTGATGCATAACAAGTGATTGCAAAAACAATGTAGTGCTACATTATAAAAGAAATTAGCTTATTATTGTGCTTTTAATTTCTAAGCTAGTTTTTTAAATGAGTGTCTTCTAGGTTCAGTAGTGAATCAGTATTCGAAGGGACTCTAAAAGAAGACTGATAATACTTAAGGAACCAACCTGTTAAAATTTATCCAGTAGGTGTTTGGTTACTTAAAACCAACCTTCTCTATTTGATTTATGCTCATAGTAAATGGATTAGAACTTTCCCTTTAACTGAAGTTGACTGCTTTCATCTTTTCTTATGCAAAGTGGCTGATTTTTTCAAGACAGTTGCTTGTCATTCCAGTGTGGATTCTGGCCATTGACCATATCAGTTCAAAGCTTAACCCAGTGCACCTCTGAGGACTTTTCTGTCATTATGTTTCAGGTGGAGGTTGCCCATCTTTCTCCTGAGGAGTAACAGATGCATTCAAACCAGATTGTCGGTGCAATACTTATCCAGGAGGCCACCAGAGCTCCCTAATGTGTGTCGGGTAGTATTGAATGAACTTAAGGTGTCTGCTCACATAAATGAATACTGTGTCAGGTAGTATTAATTTATGTGAACAGACTGCTTAAAATCACTCAGGTAGAAGGTGGTCAGCTGGGATTTATGTCTAGACTTTGGCTCAAAAAACTACTGCAAATCCCTATTCTGTAATGCCTCTCATACCTGTAATGTAATGTAATTAGAGACATCACTGAATGATTGAAGAAAAATTAAGAGGTATTTTTATCTGCAGACTTCATAGTAATCTAGATAGCCATATTCTACAGTGAGTTGTTTTTCTATTTAATGTGCTCTGACAGATTTATAAGTTATTATTTGACCCTAAACAAATTGGGCAGTGATCCTCAAATCCTTTTAATTAGCTGTGCCTTCTGCTTCGTCTGCCTTTTTGTTGGGCTTTCATGGTAATTTGATTTTTTGCATAAACTTGCTAAATTTTCCACAGGCAAAAATAAAGGCGTTCTTTCTCTGACTAGAGAGAAGGTTGAGCATGGAAGATGGCATGAGAAAATAAGAACAGAATTAAATGTCTTTTTGTAAGGAAAGGGCTTTTGTTTTGGGTTTAGTTTATAATAAACAAACAAACATATATTGTGCTTTCAAATATTCAGATGGTTGTCTTCTATTCCCAAATCAATAGTGATGATATAAATTAATTACATTTTTCAGAATTTAAAAGATCTTAAATATAAAATAAGAATAATTTGAGTAACTAAGCACTACTTTCTTCTAAGAGAAGGCAAGTGCATTTTTTGTATTTAAAAAGTAATGTATTCAGGAGCACTCCTCAAATAAAAGTTACAACTTTAAACTTTAAAAAAAAAAAAAGTAATGTATTCAATATTTTTAGTTTTCTATAGTTTTCCCTCTCACTGTTAAATTACCTGTGAGTTGGAATCAGCTCATAGCTGACCTTCTGTTAGGCTTTGGAGGCTCTAAATCGCACTGGTGTAAATCCAACACAGAGTGGCTTTGGATTCAAATTGCTAGACGTGGTCTTTTGTTTAGCAGTGCAGCTCCCTACATACTTTGCCACCAGAGCTCCCCATTCCTACATTCATGGGACTAATTAATATTTACTTTCATTTTCATT